TAAGTTAATCTAATAGCACCATGGTTCCATTTATAATTGAAGTACTTTAGAATGTAAGTTAATCTAATAGCACCATGGTTCCATTTATAATTGAAGTACTTTAGAATGTACATTAATCTAATAGCACCATGGTTCCATTTATAACTTTGTTTAATTGAAGTACTTTAGAATGTAAGTTAATCTAATAGCACCATGGTTCCATTTATAACTTTGTTTAATTGAAGTACTTTAGAATGTAAGTTAATCTAATAGCACCATGGTTCCATTTATAACTTTGTTTTGATTATGGCAAAGCTACTGAGGCTATCTGCTGTTGTCTCTGATTTTGAGCTGATGACAATAGCAAAGGCAACCATTTGGCAGCGCCAACTGCCAAGTCTTGAGCTACTCTTTACCAATTAATAGTGGGATTGAGTGTCACATTATAATGGCCGAAAGGGCAAGTATGTTTTGGGGCCGATTTCGATCCCATGACTTGTAGATTGCATCCTAATAAGATAATGTTTCAGCATGAAATATTACATACTAAGATGAAGGTAAATTGGCTAATGTAAGTATACATAGCTCCTGGGTGTTATAACGTTATTACTGTTATTTCTTTAACTCCTATATCCACTGATTTACTTCAACTAATGGGGATTTAAAAACTGGTTTTATGCTAGTCAACAGAAGATGTCAGATTTATTCAAGACTAATATTTTTATTAAACACTTTGAGTCACTTTAAAAACTAGAATTTATTACTAATTTGTAGATAAGTTATATAGTACAATTTTACACTAACTGACAGTGTTTTTGTTAAACAAATTTGTCATTTACATTTTTAACATACAATTTATAACTGTATCTTTTAATAGCCTATGCTGATTAACTCAAATGTTTTGAGTTTTACAAATTTTAGTTCTAGTGATGTGATGAATGAAAAATTGTGTACAATAAAAATTAAAATTTTGAGCAATAAATTTTGTTGGCTTCATTTCTGTGAAAGAAAAAACAAAGTTGAAACATTTTATATCCATTAAACAGATCAAAACCATGAGCTTTTGTTATATATTCACAGTTTGAAAATATTGATGATAAACAAATGTAAAAGAAATTAAGAATATGTTATAGCTCTATACAAAGTATAGAGGTGTTTTACAACTCATGGCACAAGGTATTCTGGTGTTTTACAACTCACAGTACAAGGTATAGAGGTGTTTTACAACTCATGGTACAAGGTATTCTGGTGTTTTACAACTCCTGGTACAAGGTATTGAGGTGTTTTACAACTCATGGTACAAGGTATAGAGGTGTTTTACAACTCATGGTACAAGGTATTCTGGTATTTTACAACTCATGGTACAAAGTATAGAGGTGTTTTACAACTCATGGTACAAGGTATTCTGGTGTTTTACAACTCATGGTACAAGGTATTCTGGTGTTTTACAACTAATGGTACAAAGTATAGAGGTGTTTTACATCTCATGGTACAAGGTATTGAGGTGTTTTACAACTCATGATACAAGGTATTCTGGTGTTTTACAACTCATGGTACAAGGTATTCTGGTGTTTTACAACTCATGGTACAAGGTATTGAGGTGTTTTACAACTAATGGTACAATGTATTGAGGTGTTTTACATCTCGTAGTACAAGGTATTGAGGTGTGTTACAACTAATGGTACAATGTATTGAGGTGTTTTACATCTCGTAGTACAAGGTATTGAGGTGTGTTACAACTCATCGTACAAGGTAATGATATGTTTTACAACTCATGGTACAAGGTATTGAGGTGTTTTACAACTAATGGTACAAGATATTCTGGTGTTTTACAACTCGTGGTACAAGGTATTGAGGTGTGTTACAACTCCTGGTACAAGGTATTCTGGTACTTTAGGGCTCATGGATACGCCTCAGATTAAACAATTAGGCCTACTAACTGGAAAATCTTGGATTACTAGTTTTAAAGAGTTTGTTGCTCCCAAAACTACATTGGGTTTTTGACACGTGGAATCAGACAAGACATAAAAGTAATTGTTAACAAAAATGTTTATTGACAACAAAAGACCAAATACAATACACTACAAACAATAGAGAACAAAGACAATGGACAAGAGTCTTGTGGATGTGTAGAACTAACGAGAACCTTTATTGAAAAAGCTGTCACCAGTTTAAGTATGAATCTCCCCCACCATATGTTACACTAAGCCACAAATAATCCTAAATAAACAAAGCAAAATATGAGTGAAGTTTGAATTTTACTGTATCACTACAAAACTCAGAGTCTCTAATGATCTAAACTAAAATAAAACAAGTTAACAGTAAGTTTACTTAAAGTAAACGTCTATGCCAAACTCTGGGAGACCATTTAGAGCTCTCACAGTCTTCAACAAAGAAAATTGGCAGAGACCTACACTGATGCACTGTTGAATATTTAAGTGGAAAAGCTTTCTGAACTTCTGGTGCTTGAATGGCAAACCTGGCTTTAAATATAACAGTAAACTACAAATACAAAGCCAAATCTGCACCCAGCCCCAAGACTAGTGTTTTCAAATCAAAGCAACTCACTCTTACTTCAATAAAACTTCTCACCCTGGGACACCTACAAACACAAAGATATGGTTCACATACCCATATTTTAAATGAGGTAGTCTAGAAAAACTGCTCTTACTAAATTAAAACAACAAGATAAAATACCATTACAAATAAAAATATGAAAATATCATTTTAAAAAAAGTACCTACCCACCTTTAGGAGAGGGTAATCTGACTAACCACACATGAATAAAAAGGCAAACCATTTAATAGAGAAATGCATGAAATAATAATAACATTTTAACAATGATGTACATTATAAAAATACTCTTTTAAAAGCAATACTTTGCATTAAATGATGCCCTTTTAACATAGAGTAACATTAACACGACAACCCAAACAAACACGAAATTAACCTTTACATAATAGCAAAGCTCAATCATAGATAAATAATCTATAAGATGCACTAACATAAATGTACATATGTTCACCACATAAAGCAAAATTGGTTGTTTTCCAGATCTTATGTTTGGACAAGAACTACAGCTCCCAGTGGATCTTGTGTACGAGTGTGTCTACAGGAATGTGTGGATTGGCTACATTCCTCAACAGATGTGTGTGGGTTAAAAGGTCATGTGTCAAAGGAGATGTTATGACAAAACAGCAAGGAAATGAAAGTTCAAGTTCAAGTTAGAGTGACTGAGTATGGTCGTGGTATACAACTGAAGCATAAAAATGACTCATAACTTTACTAAGTATGGTTGTGGTATACAACTGAAGCGTAAAAATGACTCATAACTTTACTAAGTATGGTTGTACACAACTGAAGCATAAAAATGACTCATAACTTTACTAAGTATGGTCGTGGTATACAACTGAAGCATAAAAATGACTCATAACTTTACTAAGTATGGTTGTACACAACTGAAGCATAAAAATGACTCATAACTTTACTAAGTATGGTTGTTGTACACAACTGAAGCGTAAAAATGACTCATAACTTTACTAAGTATGGTTGTAGTACACAACTGAAGTATAGAAACAACCCGGTTCTTTACTAAGTATGGTTATGGTACACAACTGAAGTATAGAAACAACTCGGTTCTTTACTAAGTATGGTTGTGGTACACGACTGAAGTATAGAAACATCTCGGTTCTTTAGTAAGTATGGTTGTGGTACACAACTGAAGTATAGAAACAACTCGGTTCTTTACTAAGTATGGTTGTTGTATTCAACTGCAATATAAAAAGAACTCGGTTCTTTGAAGTTACAAATTAATTAAAGAAATTAACCCCTAAGTTTAAGATGTTGAAAGGAACTTTGTGAAACCATTGAAAGAAACAAAATTATAATTATTTGTTTAAAATGAAGGAGTAACAACAAGTTTTACGTGTTGTCTTTCTCATCCAAAATTTGATTAATGTAGAGGTGAAATGATTGGTTAATGATAATATGCTGATTGATATATTATCCAATCACATTTATAATTAAAGACTAAACAGCGTATTTTCATCGTGACGTACCGTGTAAAGATTATAGAAAACAGTGCCTAAATATTGGAAACCTATAAAAATCTTATTCATACAACATATAGCCGTAAGATGACGCCACCTCTTTGTTATTGACTCACGTT